GTGCCCGGGACTGGAATCGAACCCGGGACCCTTCAGTCCGCAGGCTGATGCTCTATCCGCTGAGCCAATCCGGCGAGGCCGGCAGCCCACCTTCTTTATGTCCTAAGCCCTAGAATGCCAGTTGTTGAGCTTCGATTTTCACCTAAAACGGAATTGAATCTCCACCCAGAGAGGAACTTTACTCTCCGCCGCCCCGGAAGCCCTAGGACAGTGATGGGTGCAGGTGCAAGTGACTAAGTCAGCTACGCCTAGTGTGGGCTCCACGCTCTGCACCACACAGTTTTGTACTTAACTGCCTGGCTCCACGTCGTCACGTGACATGCCAGCTGTTCAGGTGGTTGTTAGGCCTGGGGCTTGGCCGCCCCCCCGGGCAGCCGGCAGGGGCTTGTCCGGACGGTGTGCTGAGAGCCTGTTTGTTTGGCCACTGCCGTCCTGGCCCAGGATCAGTCACTGGGGCCCGTGGTCAGGCACCGGGAGCAGCCTCCCATCCCTTGTTTGTCGGGGTTTGATGATCCTGAGGCTTCTGCCCGAGGCTGGGAGACACGCTGGGGACGACTGGCCCAACTCCCCGCCCCTCGCCCTCACTCCCTGCCTGGGCCCCGGCAGTCCCACCTGTGAAGCAGGTGGGGGTGAGGTGAGGAGGAGCTGGGATGGGCCTGGGTCCCTGAGGTTCCTTCTCAAAAGCATCTCTGCCTCCTCCTCTTCCGTCTCTGTCCCGTGTCCGGCCTCCCGGCGCCTCGCCCAGCCTTCTGACCCTGCTCTGGACCCACACGCTCACGGTGCTGGCCGAGGTGGCCGCCGCCCAGCGGAGCTGCGCCCGGGCCTCCAGGAGGCTGGAGGTGGCGCTGCAGGTAAGAGCCCGGTGGGGCAGGAGAGCCCGTGGGCGCGTGCGAGTCACCTCTGACGTGTCTGCTCGTCCTCTAGAGCCTGGAGATCTGCTTCTATGCCGAGGGCTGTGGCCTGCCGCCCGAGGCCCTGCACACGGCCACCTTCAAGGTACGGGCCTTTGGTGGGCCTGGGTGGGGGGCCGGCCGCCCTGTGCTCCCCCGTGCCCACAGCGCCTCGCACCCAATGAAAACGCGGGCCCCGTTAGCCCTGGCTGGTTTGGCTCAGTGGACAGAGCTTCAGACCGAAGGGTCCCAGGTTCAATCCCGGTCAAGGGCATGCACCTCGGTTGCAATCCCCAGCCCAATCGATGTCTCTCTCTCACATGGAAGTTTCCCTCTCTGTTCTCTCCCTTTCTTCCTCACTCTCTAAAAACCAACGGAAAAATATCCTCGGATGAGGATAGCAAAACAACAACAAAACACGTGGGCTTCTTTTTCAAAAAAAAAAAAAAAAAAAAAGGCGGCGGCAGCAGCAGCACGTGAAGGCGGCGTGCGGGTCTGAGCATGGAGGGTGCGAGGGGAGGCACGCCCGTCCGCCAGGGCAGTCCTGAGGGTGTGTCCCGGGCCGGGGTCCCGGGCGCCCAGAGCTCTCCGGGTCGGATTAACGCCTCCCTCCTGGCCCGGAGCTCCGGAGGGCAGCGCCGGCCGAGCGGAGTGTGACCGTCCCGGTGACCCTGGGCGGCCCGTTCGTCCGCAGGACCTGCAGAGGGACCTGGAGCTGCAGGCGGCCTCCAGCCGGGAGCTCATCCGGAAGTACTTCAGCCGCCGCCTGCAGAGGCAGGTGAGGGCCCGGCCACGCCCGCCCCTGCCTAAGCCCCGCCCCGCCCCACATAGCCCCGCCCCTGACACCGCCCATTGCCCCGCCCCCAGGCCGAAACTACCACCGAGGAGCTCGGGGCCGTGACCCTCAAGGCTTCCTACCGCGCCTCGGAGCAGAAGCTGCGCGTGGAGCTGCTCAGCGCCTCCAACCTGCTGCCCCTGGACGCCAACGGTGAGTGGGGCTGCCCGCTGGTCACTCCGGGCCCCCGGGGGCTCTGCTCGCCCAGCGGGAGCTCGGGATGCACCTCCCCCGGATGGCCAGGAGGGGGCAGTGCTGCTGAGCAGGCACAGCTGCAGGGCGTGGAGGCTGGGAGGGGGGCGAGAGGAAGGGCTGGGATATCCTTGGCCATTGTACCCCCACCCCACCCTGCCACTTGCCAGGTTCCAGCGACCCCTTTGTCCAGCTGACCTTGGAGCCCAGGCACGAATTCCCTGAGCTGGCTCCCCGGGAGACCCAAAAGCACAAGAAGGACCTGCACCCGCTGTTTGATGAGACCTTTGAGTTGTGAGTGGGTCCCACGTTTGCAGCGCTTCCCCGGCCCTGGACCAGCTCCTGCTGACTGGGCCCAAGGGGCTCCCCTGAGGTGACCTCCTTTGGGCCGGTGGGAGGGGCCCCTGGGACAAGAGTTTGCTGGCGTCGGTCCCAAACCTGCTCCCTGGGAGGGGCCAGGCTGTGGGGGAGACTCCCCATGTCACTTCCAGGGAAGGGTCCTGACCGGAAGTCCTCTCACACCAGCGGCCCAACCCCGGGACATAGGGCCCCTGGCTTATTTTTTATTTTATTTTATTTTTGAGGGACTACAAGTTTATTCGATCATCCCCACACCAGGTGGCTGAGCCTGGATGGCTCCAGCCCATAGGACCCCCGTTTAAAGCACCGGCCCAGTCAGAGCATCAGGCCGTGTGGCCCATACTCTGCAGCCCCTCCCTCCCCCCAACCTGGCATCTTTCCCCCAGTCCTGGCCTGTCCTCGGGAACAGGAGGTGAGCCCAGTGGGGGGATGGCAGCGGCAGTGTGTGGGGTGGGCAGCCAAGCCCAACTCTGCCCTCCCCCAGCCTGGTGCCCGCTGAGCCGTGCCAGAAGGACGGGGCCTGCCTGCTGCTCACGGTGCTGGACCACGACAGGCTGGGAGCCGATGACCTGGAGGGCGAGGCCTTCCTGCCTCTGTGCTCAGTGCACGGCCTGGATGGCACTGTGGAGCCAGGGGAGGTGCCCCAGACGCGCCTGCCCCTCACCTACCCCATGCCCAACGGTAGGCCTGAGCCCAGCGCTGGGGGGGGGGGCAGGGCGGGGCAGCCTGAGGCCCCGGAGGTGACGCGGTTGGAGCCAGTGTGGAGGCTGATGCTGCTGAGACCTCCGGCCATGCGTAGGGACGGTCTCTGCGGGAGGAGGTCACCATTGGCCTGGGGAGGCCCATCTTGCTGATAGGACCAGGTCACGTTTGTGCACTACGGGCCAGCTCCACTTACCTGACATATATTATTAACTTTTCAATCCGTACAGCCACCCAATGAAGCAGGTTGCTATTATTATTGCTATTATTGCTATTTTATAGACTGAGTAAACTGAGGCACAGAGGTTAGCTAACCTGAGGTCCTCATATTAGAAGGTGACAGGTCACCTGCTGTCCCCTGCACCCCCCAGGCACTGCCTCCCCCCCCCACTCCGAACCTAATCCCCCCAACGCCTCTCTCCACAGGGGACCCTGTCCTGCGGCTGCTGGAGAGCAGGAAGGGGGACCGTGAGGCCCAGGCGTTTGTGAAGCTGCGGCGGCAGCGAGCCAGGCAGGCCTCCCAGCATGCCCCACAGCCAGGGAGATAGCCTGGAGGGCGGGCTCCGGGCAGGAGGGCTGGTGTCCCCCCGCAGTGCAGCCCTCCGGCCCGGCCTCTCAGAGGGCTCTGCCAGGCTGGAAGGCCCGGAGTGCAGACCCTTCGGTCTCCTGCCAGAGCAGGCCCTGGAGCTGGGGACAGTATTTATACCCCCTCCACCCCCACCCCCGCCTTCAGCCTCGGCCTCAGCGTTCTCTGCCAGATCCCAGCACCGGGCGGGGCAGCTGTCTCATCCTGCCCTGTCCCTCTGGAAGGAGCGCTGGCCAAGCAGGCGCTCAGCCATCTGTCCCCCCGGAAACCGATTCCAGCCACTGGGCCTCCTCTTCAGCACCCCCACTCAGACTCACTGGGGCCAGGGCTGTGGAAGGAGCCCAGGCTAAGGGGCCTGGAGCCGGGGACCGGTGCTGCCGGGAGAGAGCTGGCAGGCAGGGGAGTGGGCTGGCACAGAGGGCAGGAGCAGGAAGGACAGCCTGGCTAACGTATCTACTGAGGACACCCCCTCTCCCCCCAGCCAGTGCCGGCCACCTAAACGTGTTCTGCGCAAAAATAAAAACATCGCAATCCACCACCCTCTCAGAAAACATGCTGTTTGCCTAAGTGGGCCCAGGTGTCAGGTCATGCAAACCTGCCCAGCCTGCAAGACACCTTGGGCTGCCCCCACCCTGCTGCCCCATCTTACAGGCAGGGAGTAAGGTGGGGGTTACTGATGCAGGAGCAGATGCGGGGCAACTGGCACTACTGGTATTTGGGCCAAGAGCTTTGAACAGAACTTGTCTGTGGCCGCTGCCAGCACCGGGGCTGGGACTCCAGGGGCACCGAGAGCGGGCAGCCTCCAGGGCACAGTGGCCTCCGTGCTGGCAGTCACGTGTGCTGGGAGTCAGGCCTGAGGCCGGTTGTCCTAGCTGCGTGGCCTTAGTCAGGTCACCCTCTGAGCTGGTCCGAGATGGCTCCATCGCCCTCTTCAGCTTGGAACTTCTGAGGCCACAGAGTAGCCCCTTAGCTGTTTGCTCACACCATCCAACAGGCCAGCTGAGAGCAGGGGAGGGAGGATGTGGCTCGAAGGCTGGGACCCTCAGCCCTTGGACAGGACATCTCTGGGCCCGCCTTTCTCCTGTTTCTATGAGAAGCCCCTAGGGCCCTGCCGTCCTTCGGAAGCAAACAAGCCGGTGGCAGCTGTCCATCGAGCTGGAGGAGCATCGCAGGGCCAGGCGGTCTGTCTGGGCTCAGGGTCCCCACAGCCGCCAGAGGCCGGGCTCAGAGACTACGGGCCTGGGAGCCCTTGGGCCTCGGCAGGCGTCCAGCCTCAGCTCCGGTGGGGCACAAGCTGCTTCCCCAGCCGGGCAGAGCTCCCGCCCAGGAGGGGCCGGGCCGGGCAGGCACAGCTGAGCTGAACTGGCCCAACCCTGGTCCAGAGGCCCTCACCTGGGACCCCACTGCCCTCGCGCATGCAAACAAGCTACCATTTCAAGTTCATATTTTATTTCCAAAGGTTTGGAGCTTTGTTGATTTTTGCATTTTTTGTAAAAAAGAAAGTTTTCACTTAATTCATTGAAAGCCCTTTGGTGCTGAGCACAGGGGGGTGGGGCCAGGGCCTCGCGGCGCCCTCGCTCCCACCCGGCACCCAGCGCAGGCAGCGGGCGGCTGCCGTCCGCCCCCGCCCCGCCCCGCCCCGCCGCGTCTGTCTGTACAGAGCAATTTAAAATGGAGCTAAGACACACTATACACGGACAGGCACGCACACACATGCACACGGGCGTCCTGCCGAGTGGCAGGACGTCAGCTGCACTCGGAGAGCACCAAGGAATGCATCGGAGCCCCTCCTGGCGGAGGGAGGGCGGGGCCTGGGCCCCTGGTCCAGTCCGCAGCTCCTCCCAATGGCCCTGCTAGCTGTCGGAGGGAGAGGGCGGAGGGTGTGGGCCAGGCAGTGCCAGGAAGGGGGACAGCTGAAGGCAGCAGGGGGTGACGGGGGGGGGGGGGGCAGTGCCAGCCTGGTAGGTGGCCATGGGGCCAGGTAGGCTGCTCTGGGAACCGGAGAGGGCTGAGGCAGACCTGCCTCAGGAACCTGAGGGGTCCAACTCCCGGGCCTTGACCCTCGTGGGCTTCAAGGGCCTGGGGTTGGGCGCAGGGCTACTTGGCCCTGCCAGCCCCGAACTATTTGCATCTGGTAAACCAGCAGCCAGGCTGCCTGGACCCCAGCACTCCCTCAGGCCCGCAGCCGGAAGCAGGTCTGCCCGGGCCTCCGAGCCCCTGGCCCTGGCCTAGAAGGGGGAACAGGGCCTGCCCTGAGGCCTCCCTCTCCCCTGCGCCCCTTCCAGCTTCCACCTCCCTGCTCAGGCCCCAGAAGTTAAAAATAGTTAGTCCTACATATAAAAGAGACAGGAAGGGGCTCTGACTCCCTGCCGCAGGCGGTGGGAGCAGAGGGAGGGGAAGGGGGGAGCGGGCAGGGGAGGACTGCAAAATAGTTTCTTCTTTAAAAAGTGCTTGGTAAGTCTGTTTAAAGTGTGTGTCTATATCTACACACAGATATACACACAGACACTGTCACACTGGTCGCCCACGCATACCTGCACACGCACGGAGATGTATACATATACATAATCATATACATATACATACATACATACATACATACATATATATATATATATACTTTAAAAAGTCCTAGGTGGGAAGATGTGAGCCAGGCCGGGGCCGGGCCTGCAGCGTCACGACTGGAGGGCATGGGCCCGGCCTGGCTGGCAGACGGGGCACTCGCTGCCCTCGGCACACAGCTCGCACAGCACGGCGTGTTGGCACGGCAGCACTGCTCGGTTCTGCTCCTGACACTTAAGGCATTTCACCGACTGCATGTGGAACACGGCCTGCGGGGACAGCGGCATCCGGTCACCCGCCTGGCCTCGGGTCTGACAGGTTCCCTAGCCCTCACTGCGGCCCCTCTGGAGGAGGAAACTGAGGCATGTGTGCACGGTCAGGCATTCGCATCACCTCCTCTGTGATGTGAATGCCTGATGGGGGGGAGGCAGAGCCTGGGGGAGGCGGCCCTGGGTCCCCAAACGAGAGCAGTGGGGCCCGGAAAGGGCGGACAGCCCGCAGGTGCGTGGCCACCTGAGTTTGTGCTGTTCTCCAGGACAACCCCCGCCCCCCACTCTGTCCTCTGTGCGCCTGCGGGATGCAGCCAGGGCAGCCCTGGGACCTCCCCATTCTGGAACATCATCTGGTTCGTGCAGAGCTCAGAGAAGCCATCAGGAAGTGACTCAGGCCAGCGCCTGCCCCCAAAAGTGCTGGCATGGGCATGGACCCAACTCCTGCTTGCTCCCTCCGCAGTGAGACGTTCCCTCCCTGGCTCCCCTCCAGCAGGATGGCACCCCTGGCGCAGTGAGGACCCCCCAGCGCCCAAACACTGGCTGTGGCCTCTTCTACCCCCACCCAGTGTTCCCTGACCTGGGCTGACCTTGTCCACTTGCTCTAGGCGGGCCCGCAGCTGCTTCTGGAGGGAGTAGAGGGTGGAGAGCGAGAGGGCCTCCAGGTCGGAGAAGGCGGGCAGGGCCTGCGGGTCGGGCCCCGAGTGCAGCCGCTCTAGCTCCTCCCGCAGCTTCTGCACCTGCACCTCCAACGCGTCCCGCTGCTCCCGGGCCAACTCACACTCGGCGCCTGCCGCGCTGGCCCGCTCACCGGCCTCCTCCGCCTCCTTCTTCCAGGCATCGCAAGCCTGTGGGCCAAACACGCGCACCCGGTCACGGCGGCCCTGCCCTCTGGCCCCTGGGAGCCTGTATGAGCCTCTGTGGCTGCGGGGCCAGCTGTCTGGGGAGGGGACAGGGAGGAAGCTGACGCTGCCCGCAGAGAAGGGAGGGTCAGGCCGGCAGGAGGGCCCCCGTGGGCAGGGAAGAGGGCTGGGCCCAGAACTGCTGCCTCGGACAGAGGCCCCTCTCAGAACCTAGAACCTGGGCGTGAGCCCGGGAGTCGGGGCTGCTTAGGAGGCAAGTGGTGCTGGGCCCGAGCACGTGAACAGCCCGGAGCTCTGGTCTGGGCCCGGCCGCCAGGCTCCTGTCCTCCAGGCTCCGGCCCCTCAGCCCCGGCCCTGTGAGGGGCCGTACCTGCTTGGCCTGCTTCCAGGACTCCTCCCACTGCTTGATGGTGCCGTTCGCTTCCTCCAGCTCCTGCCGAAGCCGGGCCAGCTCAGCGGCCCCCGGTCCTGACAGGAAGGCAGGGGATGTGCCTGGGGAGAAGCTTCCAGAGGCAAAGTGCTCCCAGATGTTGCTGTTCATGCCATTCAGACCTGTCCCAGGCGGGGAGAAGTTGAGCGCTCCAGAGGCCCCCGGCCTGCCAGGGCTCCTCAATGCCAGGCTGGAGTCTGGCGGGCACCAGTAGGTGCTGCAGTTGAGTCAGACCTCCTGTGATGCCAATGCTACTTATCAGCTGCCACTTCAATTGTGAGCCTCAGCACTCTCACCTGTAGGATGGGTGCCTCGGCCTGGGGAGCGCAGTAGGGGGAGCAACCTGTGAAGGTGCCCATTTGTGGCTGTCACTTCAGGCTACAGGGGGTGGGCCTCACGCACCCAGGGTGAGGGCGGGAGGGCGTCAGGGGAGAGGACAGACCAGGCCTCCGGTGACGCAGAGCTGTGAGCAGGAAGAGCCGGGCCAGGCCAACCCGCTTTACGGCAGTAAGTGGAGGCCAGGACACGGGCTGCTTAACTCCCACGGCCTCCTGTCCAGTCTGCCAGGGGCACACTCACGCTCCCCGCCCACTTTGTGACACTGTGCCTGCTCTGGGGCCCTCGGGGCAGCCCCCGCTTCCAGAGCAGGGCCCGGCGCTCCCTGGGGCCTCACCCTGCCCATTATTCTAGGACTCCTTTCTTGCCTCCTTTCCCACTAACCCGGCCGGGGTTTCTGGAACCAAATGGACTAAGACAGAGTTCTCCCAGCAACACCAGCGCTCCCGCCACATGAGGCCGAGCTGTCCGAGGCGGGGACCGGCCCCACCGCCTGACACATCCCAGCGGCAGCGCGCCCGCCTCTCCACATGGCGCACGGCTCTCGGAGGGCAGCCACTCCGCGGAGAGGGCCGGCCCTCTTTTACAAATATTTTATGTATTTAATTCTTTCCCATCGCCACTCATCTCCCCTCCCCTTCCCCTCGCCCCGCTTCCTCCCCGCAGAGCGCCACCTGACCTCTGGGTGAGGTTCCTCTCTTATCCTGAATCCCAGCCCAGCCTGACTCCACACAACCGCTCCGAGTGTGACCTCATGCCGTCCCCGCCTCCCCCAGGGCCACGGCGCCAGGCCAGCCGGGGCTGTCAGCTCACACTGCCTATAACCGCTCAGGGACCGCCCGGGGAAGGAAGGAAGGGATGAGGCCAGTGAGCGAGCTGCTGGCCTTCAGACAGGGGACAAGCCGGACACAGGAGGCTGAGCATCGAGGCTGATGGTGTCAGCACGGAACAGACACCTAACGGCAGGTGCTCGGGGAGGCAGCACAGCGCGGCATGCGGTCAGCGGACAGGAATGACTCCGGGCGCCGGCGGACATGGGCGCCTTGTGAAGTGGGACTGTCAGCCACGAGGCTCACACCGACACCAGCACCAAGTAACAGACAGTCAACCGACTGAAAAATAAACAAACTAGCAGACTGAAAAGGTGCCGCCCTGACCTCTCAGTGAGGGCAGGTCAGAGTTCGGGCCCAGCACCCTCCGGGAGCGGTTCTCACCCTGAAGAGCTGGGGCGGGGGGAGACCAGGGAGAGGCAGCAGGTTGGTCTCTGCTCGTCACTGTCTGGCTGTTACCGCGGTGAATATTCGTGTTCCTACACGTGGCTGGTAGCGGAGCCACAGGTCTGCACTATGCCTGGCCCTGCAGCCAGAAGCCCCGGTCCGGCCAATGCCTTCGGGCCTGGAGCAGGGTCTCCCTGGTGCCCACCAGGAAAGCCACGCTGAGCCAGGGCTGAGCTGGCCAGACTCTCCCTTGGCCTCCGGGGTCAGGCAGCTGTGACGGGCTGCTGGGAGCCTCCGGGGTCAGGCAGCTGTGACGGGCTGCTGGGAGCCTCCTGGGGCAGGTGGCTGTGACGGGCTGCTGGGAGCCTCCGGGGTCAGGCAGCTGTGACGGGCTGCTGGGAGCCTCCTGGGGCAGGTGGCTGTGACGGGCTGCTGGGAGCCTCTGGGGTCAGGCAGCTGTGACGGGCTGCTGGGAGCCTCCTGGGGCAGGTGGCTGTGACGGGCTGCTGGGAGCCTCCGGGGTCAGGCGGCTGTGACGGGCTGCTGGGAGCCTCCTGGGGCAGGTGGCTGTGAGCTGCCCCCGGAGGCCCGGCTGCCTGGGCAGAACTGCCACCCTGACATGAGGAGAGCAGGCCCTGGCGGCTGAGCTGCCGCTCACTGCGCCCTGGCCCGTGCCTCACACTTCCTCAGGCCTCACCACCTCCGTGAGCTGGGTGCTGCCACTATGTCCATTTTACAGCGCAAGAAACAAGGCAGAGACTAAGTCACCTGTCCAGGCCGCACAGCTAAGGGAGGCGTGGGGCGGGCCTGAGGCCCCTCCCAGCCCGGAGCCCTGCTCTAACCTCCCCTCCACACCGTCTCCGGCCTGGACAGAGGCGAGGGCGCTTCCCCGAGCGCAGTGCTGCCCCCGGCCCCCTTACCCAGAGGCCCCCTCTTACCCAGAGGCCCCCTTACCCAGGGGCCCCCCTTACCCAGAGGCCCCCCTTACCCAGAGGCCCCTCTTACCCAGAGGCCCCCCCTTACCCAGAGGCCCCCCCTTACCCAGAGGCCCCCCTTACCCAGAGGCCCCCCTTACCCAGAGGCCCCTCTTACCCAGAGGCCCCTCTTACCCAGAGGCCCCCTCTTACCCATAGGCCCCCTCTTACCCAGAGGCCCCCCTTACCCAGAGGCCCCCCCTTACCCAGAGGCCCCCCCTTACCCAGAGGCCCCCCTTACCCAGAGGCCCCTCTTACCCAGAGGCCCCCTCTTACCCAGAGGCCCCCCTTACCCATAGGCCCCCTCTTACCCAGAGGCCCCCTCTTACCCATAGGCCCCCTCTTACCCAGAGGCCCCCCTTACCCAGAGGCCCCCCCTTCCCCAGAGGCCCCCCTTACCCAGAGGCCCCCCTTACCCAGAGGCCCCTCTTACCCAGAGGCCCCTCTTACCCAGAAGCCCCTCTTACCCAGAGGCCCCCTCTTACCCAGAGGCCCCCTCTTACCCAGAAGCCCCTCTTACCCAGAGGCCCCTCTTACCCAGAGGCCCCCTTACCCAGAGGCCCCTCTTACCCAGAGGCCCCCTTACCCAGAGGCCCCTCTTACCCAGGGGCCCCCTTACCCAGAGGCCCCCCTTACCCAGAGGCCCCCTCTTACCCAGAGGCCCCCTCTTACCCAGAAGCCCCTCTTACCCAGAGAGCCGTGTGGAGCTGAGGTCCCCAGAAACGTGTTTTCTGACTGGCTCAGGTGGCCCTGGGGCTGCGGCAGGAAATGCGAGGAGAGGCTCACGGGAGGCGACGGGGAAGCTGAGTGGAAGGAGGCGGAGCTGCCCAGGGAGCCGGGGATGTTCACGGGCGCAGAGCTCTGCAGCAAGCTGCCGCCTGCGAGAGGCCGGAGGGCGGTGAGGGAGGGAAGCCAGGGGCCACGCCAAGCAGGGCTCTGCTCCCTCCCCCCGCCCCCGCAGCCCAGTACCGATGGTGACGCTGCCCGGGTGGGGCACGGCGCCGCTATCGAAAGTCTTCTCCAGGGCGGCCACCCCGAACTCGTTGAGGTCCAGGTCGTCCAGAGCAGACTCTAGGGGCAGCACGACCGGGGTCTGAGACTCCCAGCCTCCCGGGCACACGACCCCCGGTCCAGGCCTCGCCGCTGGAACCCACCTGCCCTTCACCACCTCCTCCCGCCCCCGCCTGGGGCTGGGCTGCTCCTGTCACTCGAGCCCTGACGCTGCCTGCCTGGCAAGCCCAGCTCCCCCGGCTCCTTTCTGAGCCTTCCTGGGCGCCCAGGGGGCTCCTGCTTCCGAGGTTGGGGTTCACACGTCTCCTCTCTGAGCTGCTGAGGGCAGCCTCGTCTCTGGGCCTCCCGACAAGTGCGCTCTGCCCTCTGCTGACCGGCAGGGGTGGGACAGCGGCCCTATGACATCTTTAGGTCTGGAACCCCCGCCTCTACACTAGGCCCGGCACCAAGGGCGCCCCTCAGTGACTGCTGAAGGGGAAGGGCACAAGGAAGCCACAGCGAGGGAGGGGCCTGCGGGACACGAGGAGACCACCTTGCCCGGGGAAGAGGCGGCGGGGCCCCAGGGCGGGCCCTGGCCGCCACCTTGGCTCGGCCTCCGCTTTGGCTCAAAGGCCGGGAGTGCTGCCCTCCGACCCCAGGCCGGGGTCTAAAGCCGATCTCACTCCAGAGACCGAGTGCCTCCGAGTCCAGACCCAGGCCTGGACTTGGCAACAGAAATGGCCTAATTACCTATGACCGACTCTACCGTGTCACTGGTGGGGTAGAAGGGCAGAGCGTTTGCATTCATGCCAGGGATGCTGCTGGCGCCCGCGGGGCTGGGGGGAGTAGCTGCCAGGCTGGAGGTGATGCTAGAAGAGATGCTTGAGGTCAGGGGGCTGCCCACGGGGAGGATGCCCAGCATGTCCTGCAACGAGAGAGGGAGGAGGCGATGAGATGCCCGCCAGGAGGCCCTGGCGGGTGCTGGGGGGGGGGCAGAAGGAAATGGGTATCAGCCCCCATGCCCGGATGGGGCCCCACCCACAAAACACACAGTTGGAAGGTTGGAGGTTCCAGGGCCACTCACCCCTGAAGGGGGAGGGAGTGAGCCCAGTGCTGGCAGTGCTGTTTGCACTGACTGATGAGTGACTAGGAGTGAGAGGCTCGGGGGCCTGACCACCCTGTCTGCATTGGAGCTGGTGCCCCACCTCAGTCCTGCCCTCATTTGGGGGGAAAGCATGCCTCCCGCTCTCCGTAGCCTCCTGGGCTGTGGGCCTGGCCTGGCCACAGCGGCTGCCGGAAGGGGCTGAGCGTTGGTACCTGTTTGGGCTGAAGCAGAGGCTGCTCTTGACTCCTGGGCTCTAGGGAGTGGGCTTTTAACTTGGCCTGAGGAGGGTCAGAGAGCAGGCGGTGAGGTGGTGCCGTGGCTCACTGCGGCTGCGGACACACTGCCGCCTCCCCCTCCCCCCTCCCCGCTCTCCGCCACGCCTGCTCCCTCCCGGCCAGTGAGGGCAGCCACATCAGGGCAGCACAGGGCAGGGCCAGGCGGTTGTGGGTTCTGTGACCGGGTGGGTGCTCAGCTTCTCTAGCCTGCCCGTCTTCACTGTCAAACGGCCGGCCCTCCTCACAGCGCTCAGTCTGGGAGGCGGAGGAGGGGGCTTCCTAGCGGCGGGCCAGGCTGCCCCTCGGAGCGGAAGGCTTACCCCCCCACCCCCCCGCTGCCCCTCACCCCTTACCTGGCATTTAAAATTTTTCAGGAACTCGGCTCCCACCTGGTCTTCCCTCTCAAAGCCAGGAGCCTTCTTGTAGCTGCCGGGCGCCAGGCCAGGCTCCCCGGGGAAGACGATGCCCTCCAGGTTCGGGGGCTTCCTCACGGCGCCCGGTGGGGAGCCGCAGAGGTTGGACGGGCTGCCCAGGCTGCTGTTTCTACAGAGGAGCTGTGGGAGGAAGGGAGCGGCTGGTGGGCACAATGCAGGCCAGGACCCGGCCTGCCCTCCCCCTGCCAACGGGCACACCTCACCCAGCAGACCCAGAACCTCATGCAGGAACTGTGTGTGTGTGTGGGGGGGGCATGCGCTCTGGTGACAGGCTTTGTCCCTCTACCAGCACTACCCAGACTGACTAAGGCAGGTTCTGGGGACACAGCCCCACCCACCATCCACTTTTGACAGAAAATAACCCTGGCCAGTGTGGCTCAGTGGTTGAGCACTGACTTATGAACCAGGAGGTCCTGGTTAGATTCCCAGTCAGGACACAGGCCGAGGTTGAGGGCTGGATTCCCAGTGGGAGGCGTGCAGGAGGCAGCCGACCAATGATTCTCTCTCATCACTGATGTTTCTATTTCTCCTTTTCCCTTCCCCTCTGAAATCAATAAAAAAAATACATTACAAAAAGGGGGATGGGGGAAGTCCAAGGCCTCCTCCCCAAGCCCAGGCTGAGAGGCAGGTGCCCACCCACCCTGGACAGGCACGTACGGAGCTGAGGTCAGGGGCGTGTGGGCTGGAGGGGCTCACGGGCACCGAGTCTCCGGCAGCAGACGGCATGTACAGGACGGGACCCGGCTGCGCGGGGCTGGACACGGCGGAGGAAGTCTGCAGCTCGTCGCTGAGGGGCGGCTCTGCAAGACACGGGCAGGTGTCGGAGGCTGAGCCAGACACGCGCTGGGTCTCTCCCAGGACCCTGCGTCCCCGCCCGCAAAGGGAGGCTTCCTTCTCTCTGCCAACGGCGTGCACAGCGGCACTGGCAGCAAGTCTTCACAGCGAGGACGCGGTGAGAGCAGTCTCCATTGTGTGGATAAGGACACTGGGGCTCAGGGAGGCAGGGAAGGCCGGGGAACCGCGCGCCCCAACTGTAGGACCCTAGAGCCCAAGCCACGAATCAGACGCAAGGGAGCAGCGCTCTCCGAGGGGCAGCCCTGCTCTCGGCGGGAGGGCTGGGCGGGTCCCGCTCAGCTGGTGACGTAGTGCTGTCTGCCGCGCGGGCGGCTGCTGGCACCTGCCTGAGGGCCGGAGCCTGCGCAGGGTGCAGGAGGGGAGCGGGAGAGGACTCTGCCTCAGGGCGGGGGCAGCTTACGTTCTACGTGGGCGAAGGCGCAGAAGGGTCCTCGAGGACAGCTGCCCGCCTGCTGCATGTCGTTGCACTTGGTGGACTTGTAGATCTGCGGGGACAGCGCAGACAGGGGCGGTCAGGCGTGGCACACGCAGGCGCGGTGCAGTGGCATGGCGCGGCAGACTGCCATCCCCCCTCCCTCCCGCTCCACTCCCAGGTGTCTCCCTACCAACGTCCTGCTCACCCCGGAAGCAGACACTGCCACCGGCGCCCAGCCCCGCCCGCCCTCACAGGGTCTCCATGCTGCTCTCACTCAGGTCTTGGCGGGGCTGTGACCCCCGAACGTGCCCCTGGGCGCTAAGAGGGCCAAGCCTGCAGGCAGCGCCTGCTCGCCCGGGGCATCCTGTGGGGGGACCGCTGCTGGGCCTAACCTCCCCCGCTGCTGTCCGTAGCCACTTAGGTGGTCTGTCCAGGCATCTACCTCAGGTGCTGGGCTCCACGGAACCAGGGGAAGGGACAGCCTGTGCCTCTGTGTGCCTACCAGGACCGCGCACACTGATATGGCTCCGGCGGGCCATGGGGCCAGGGGCTGGGGAACATGCCTGGGAGGCTGCCGGCACGCAGGCTCACAGGCTCTGGTTTGGAACACAACTGTCCAGCGCTATCACACCCAGCACGGCCAGGGCGCAGGGCTCCGTGGGGGTGGGGGGCCTGGCGGGGGAACAGCCTGGGAGCGGAGGTGGTGGAGAGCGGCTGGAACAAGGGAAGATGCCCCTTCAGGCACTGCTGGTTGGAAGCCTGAGCTCTGATCCCTCTTCCTCCTCCGGACGGAGTCAGGTAGCCTCTGCCTGGCTTCCCGAGAGGCTGCGTGAGGCCGCCCGCCCGCCCAGGCACCCGGCCCACCTCGGGGTGGAACTGCTGCTCCGTGCGGGTGTGGCAGTACTGGCAGGCGTCTCCGTTCTCGCACTTGCCCGGGTCTCCCCACTCATCCCCATGCTTCACGTTTGGACATGGAGACGACCTGGTCCAGTGAGAGGGTGGGCACAGGGATGCCAGAGGGAGAGATCAGGATGTGAGGGATGCCAACTAGATCCCGCCCCAGCGACCAGAGGCAGGCTCTGCTCTGCCCAGCGCTGCCCGTCAGCCAGCTCCTCCCACCGAGCACTACGGGCCCAGGACAGCCAGCGCAGCCACCGCTCCCTCCATGGCTCAGCCCTACCCCCTGGATTAGAGCTGAAGGGCCTCGAGGGCCGGCCGCCAGATCCTCCTTTCATACTGGGAGGACCCAGGCGGGCTCCTGTCCTGCTATCCTGACCAGCCTTGTCCCTGGGCCCTGACCCCGGAGAGTGGAAGCCGCCTGCGGGGACGGACCTGTACTTGTGCTTGCGGGGGCCCCGCCGCCGGTCCTTGCTGTTGTGGTAGTAGGGGCAGGCGTAGCCCTGGCGGCACAGCCGCGGGGGCTTCTTGCACGGCTCCGTCTTGTAGTTCCCCAGCACGTACGCGGTCTCTGCACGGCCAGAGGCAGGGGTCAGGCGGGGGGGGGAAGCCACTGGAAGGTCCAGGAGCCACAGCTCCCGGGAGAGGTCTGAGCAGGGCCGCCTTTTCACAGGCCTCAGTGACACCGAGGTCAGCCAGGCCAGAGCCAGGAGGACGCTGCCCCTCTCCGGACAGGACGCGCACAGGGTGATAAGGGCGCCCGTGGTAGGTTGGAGGACACACGTACTTACATGCATGCACAAGAACGTGTGTGTGAAAGCCCCTGAGAAACCCGGGGTGCTCCTGGGATGATGGGAGCAGGGCAGGGCATGGCTGGGGAAGCTCCCAGCAGTGGCCCGGGCTGCTTGGCTGGCTGTAAGGGGGTGAGGGGCAGCCCTCGCTGCAGAGGCGGCGGGGAGCTGATCCTTTGGGCAGGAGCGGGGTGCGGACGCCTGTGTCGGGGCCACCTTTACCTTGCCACCGCGGCTCCTCGCCGAGGATCTTCTCTATCATGGTGTGGCTTGCAGCCCCAGCGGACTGACCCTCCAGGCTGCCCTCCACAGGGGCCTGGCCGTTCTGCAAGGCCTCCATGGCCTGGAGCTCCCTGGCAGGAGAGGAGACGGAAGGGCATGAGGGGCGGCCGCAGAGTGCCAGTCCTGCAACCCACGTGTGGTGCTCGCCGCGCCAGCAGCCAGGCCCCGCCCCGCCCACAGGCGGCGCCCAGCCACCTGATGTCATAGACCGGGGAGCGGAGGTCATGGGGCCCATGGGCGAACGCGCAGTGCAGGCCGTTCTTGGTGCAGTTGCCTTTTGAGTCCGTCTCGTGGATGCAGATTCCAGTCTTGTAGTAGCGCAGGTGGTACCTGCGCTCGGTGTCCCCGGTGGTCCTGTGCAGGAATGGACATCTGGAACACGGAAAGGAGGCCACTCAGCTGAGGCCCCTGAGCTGAGCTACGGTGTCCGCCCGCCCATGTAGCATCTCAGGAGGCGCCGGGCTCTGAGCGGACGAGACTGGTTTGTTCTGATGCGGCCTGGGGCGTGGCAGGAGAGAGGCCGGGCGGGGTTTCCTGCCAGTGGGAAAGGAGAGGGGCCTCCCCCAGGCCAGGCTGCAGCCCCGAGCCGGCGCTCAGACCGCCTGGCCAGGAGGGCACCTCTGAGGGCGGCCCCAGACACTCACTCGTCGCCCTCCGGGCAGAGGCCCGTGGCCTCGTCGTACTTGGTGCAGTAGACGTCGGGGCTGTAGTTGAACGTGCCGTCCCGGCGGCGGATGGAGCGGCGCCGGCGCTGGTTCACGAAGTGCCAGTGGAAGCAGGTGTAGGGCCGGTGCTGCGTGCATTTGTGCTGCACGAAGAGCGGGCACTGCTCTGTGCGGAACTCCTTCAGGTACCTGCGGGAGCCGTGGGCCGGGAGGAGCGTGAGGCCCTGGCCGCCAGCGAGAAGGCGCCATGTCCCCGGGGCCCAGCTCTGGCTGGCTTCACGGGGACGCCGGAAGAGGCCCACAGCGAAGGCTGGACCGGCCTGTGGACTCTCCCGGTGCCCAGGTCCTCAGCCGCCCGAGGGGTGGGAACAGGGACCTCAGGGCCCTCGGCAGTCAGCTGTCCGCCATGGCGACCAGGAAGGCTCCCCGTTCCCCACCCAAGGCTGCGAATGAGAGCATGAGCCTCCCCCGGACTCCCTGCAGCGCTGTCTGCGGCCAGGTCTGCCTGCCAATGCTGGAGGCCCCCCGGCCAGGAGCAGCCTGGCCAGGGCGCAGGCTGAGGGCCAGGGCTGAGGGCCAGGGAGGCTGCTGTTTGGAGCTGAGCGCCCAGGTCACAAGGCATCCCTCTCCGTTACTACTGCCCTGTCTACCCACCTCGTCCCAGAGACATTCCCAGCTCCGGCCAGGGGAGCGAGTGGGCAGCTCACGTCAGCAGCATCTGCAGAAAACCTCCCTCAGCCCTGCCTGTGGCTGACGATCATCTCACAAGTGTACCTGCTGCAGTGGGATTCACATTGGCTTCACCTCTCTCCTCTGCACGGAATAGCCAAGCCATGCCCGAAGCCCCTCCCCCACGCGCCACCCGGTGGAGGGCCCAGGCCCCCTCCCCTTACCCAGCACCCAGCCCGCCATCTGCTCACGCTGCGTGTCCAGGCGGAGCTCTCCTGGACTCCCCCGCCCCAAGGCAGGCGGGGCAGCCTGTGCTCGTCCCCTCAGGCCCTAACAAGCAGCTACCATTACTCCATAGAGCACTGCATGAGAGAGGAGGAGGATGCTTCTAGAAGGTGCAGAAGGGAGTGTGGAAGCTACAGCCAGGCTTAGAGCAGCACCTGGAGCTGCAGGACGCGGGGCACTTGCTGAAAGACGACAGACAACAGAAATAACTGTCTCAGAGAGGCCACAGAACACGCTGCAGTCCCCTGCGCTGCCACAGGGCGGAGCACTGGCCGGAGAGCCTTCCTCCTCCGCGTGGGAAGCATCGCGGCGCAGGGAACCTGGGACTCAGCATGGGGCAGGCGGTCCTGCTACAAGCCCCTCAGGAGGGCAGGGGCCCAAGGGCCTAGTCTAGGCAGCAGAGAGCCCCCTTCCCATCAGCTCTGATGAGATGAAGGAAGCGTCTAATCTGCTTAAGTCACTAAGGGAACTTACCACCCTCCCCCCACCCTCGCCACCTTGGGCTGATGGGCAACGCATCACAAGGCGAGGAGAACACCTGGAGAAATCACTGCATTTTCACGGACTGAAGTGAAATAGAAACGATCAGTGGAAATGCACGACTGTCTGTTAAGCTCCGACCCCTCTTTCCGTTTTAGAGGTTTGAAAGCACAGGACTGAAGAAACTGAACAGGCTGAGCCTCACAGATCAGTTCAGCCGGCTCCCAGGAAACCTGCCAGTGCTGGGGTCTCACCTTCCCCCCATCTTCCGAGGTCTGGGGCGGGCACCGGGCACCGGACTAAATTCTCCATCTCCCGGAACACAGCCGTGCTCAAGGGAAAAGCCAGTGCACCTACAGCTTCGCACTGAGAGGCGGCCGTGGCCAGCAGAGGAAGAACCCACTCAGGCCCGAACGGTACGATCCGCCAGGGAGAGCCATGACGCGGCCGGCGGAGCGGCTCCAGAGCGTGGAGGACACGCGACTGGTCAGAGCAGCGCCTTCATGCTTGCCCCACTGGAGGCTGGCTCTACACCAAAACCATCTCTCACTCCTTCCCAAACATCACGTTAATTATCCCAACAGAGGCTCCCTCATACATATAAAACATTGTATGGAAGCAACATGCCCACTGAAAGGGCAAATCACCCTTCACCCCACCACTAATAATGTTAGCCTTTTGGCAAATGTTCTCCAGCATTTTTATAGAGATAGCATTATTATGTATCATCATGCTAAACTGCTTTACAAACTATTGATACTTTCCTCTCAAAACTTTTCAAATAAAAAAAACAATACTTCCAATATTATAAACTGTCACTTAACCGAGTGCTCACCTACCCTCTGCATTTCCGGGTGAACTTCAAACCCCACTCCGCCTCACTGAACGGTCATCAGTGCGCCCTCCGGGAGGGGCAGGGAGACCATGAACACTGAACACGCGAAAGGCATGGGAGAGGCCCCACCATGTGAGTGGAGAGGCAACAGGGACCGAGCAATGGATGCCTGCACCTGCACCCAGCGCCGCTGCTTCCGGAACGTGCTGAGGCCTCACTGCTGCCAGCATCCGCTCCCCTCCCCACTAAATCCGCTCTAGGGCAGGGTCAGCACACTTCTTCTGTAAAGGACCAGATAGGTAATTTCAGACTCAGAGGGTCAAGACATCAAACTGAGGATAGTAAGTGGGTACTCATACAACAAGAGAGAAAACGAATTTCCACAAACTTTTTATTGATGATATTCAAAATATAATAATTGGCTACAATTTTTTTGTAATACAGTCTACTACTAAGAATGGACTTAGCAGGGGTATTTGCCAGGTTGAGGCTCCTTTCATTAAAATTACAAATGTTCATCCGGTAAGGGTAATTCTGTAATAACATCTTACATACTCCATCTTTGAAGGCGTGGTGTAAACTGCTCAGATGCACAGGTAAATGGATTCTGAATGTGTTCATACCAAGACGCAAGCTTGCTACTGGGACCGAGCTTGTGTTTGGAAATCACCTCCGTGTAAATCTGTGTTCCAGCGGGGATCTCACCTTTGGGGTGACCTCTGACAACAGTGTATGAGGCAGCTTGACAACTTCTGTGTCAAACAAACATGGGCTGTCGAAGTGACTTAACTGCAATACCAAGTTTGTGTATAAGTGATGATTTATTTCCTTGTGATTTTCGAGTGAATTCACTAAAAACATTATGAAGTCTGCAGCAAAAGCTAATTTCCAAAACCTTTCATTGTTCAATAGTAGTAGTTGAAAATGATTCTTCTCATTCAGAAAAATTTCAGTTATCAGCCCTGAACTCACAAAATTACAAGAAAACTTGACCACTGCTAAGCCATCAAGCTGTTGTGTAGTAGGGCGGGGCAGAGTATTCCACCTCTACTGCTGACAAAAATTAGAGGAACTGATGGATGGCAGTTAAGTCCACAAGCAGGAGTGAAGCTCAGCACTGATCTAATGGCTTGTTGACACCACAGCCAAAATGTTTCCGCTGGTGACCACCACAGTAACTGTCCGCTTCACACCGCACACCCTAAGCTTTGTAAACTTACGTGTGGAATCCTTATAGCAACCTCGAGCGACACTCGTCTATAATCGACTATTTTCCATATTCATATTAACCCCTACTGGCTACTTTCTCCCCCATACACACATATTCCTAGGGAAATTCAATCATATGAGTTCATCCTTAATGGCTTATCAAAGATTCTTCTTTTTTTTTTAATATATTTTATTATTTTGTACAGAGAGGAAGGGAGAGAGATAGAGAGCTAGAAACATCGATGAGAGAGAATCATCGACCAGCTGCCTCCTGCACACCCCCCACTGGGGATATGCCCGCAACGAAGGCACATGCCCCTGACCGGAATCGAACCTGGGACCCTTCAGTCCCCAAGCTGACGCTCCATCCATTGAGCCAAACCGGTCTCGGCAAATTCTTCATTTTTAAGTTTGAGAATACTTTTAACTTCAAGGGGAATGTTAGAGCAGATCAGTAAAATAAGAATACTATGCTCACAGCTTTTAATTTTTTTTTAAATATATATTTTATTGAATTTTTACAGAGAGGGAGAGGGATAGAGAGCTAGAAATGTCGATGAGAGAGAATCATCAACTAGCTGCATCCTGTACACCCACTACCGGGGATGTGTCCGCAACCAATGTACATGCCCTTGACCGGAATCGAACCCGGGACCTTTCAGTCCACAGGCCAACGCTCTATCTACTGAGCCAAACCGGTTTCGGCACAGCTTTTCTTGATAGGCCTAATAACAACCTTGGAACAGGCTGCTATATGCTGAATGTCCAGCAGTAGCTCTTAGCATTGCCCATCTTAAGTAGTTATGCTATGCTTCATTTTTTATTGGCGTACCATGTTTGATTTGTTCCTGATACCTTTGGAGTTTTTTTCTGAAAATGAAGCAGTAATGCAACATCAACTTATTAAAATACATTTTAATCCTTAAAAAAAAATAATACTAAATTATACAAGTGTGTGTTTGGTATATATAAACAAATATACATGCATCTTAAATATCTTAAAATCTGTTGAAAATCTTTTTGGTTTTGAAGAGCTTTAGGTAAATTACTACTAGTTGTAAATCCATTTTTGTAAGGACATACACAATGTTTTGACATCAAACATAATCCAGAAATGATATAATTTTGTAACAATAACCATACCAGTGGAAGTTGCCAAAAAATTACTTTTAAAAATCGAGGCCAAATAAAGCTGAAATTGGTGCCTGGCAAATATTTGGGCAGTTCAGACAAAGCGCTATAGAGCTTTGGCTTGCAAATCTTCTGAAGAGATCCTGGTTTAACATTCTCTCTGGCAGAAAAAGAAAGCAAATAAATTAAGTGTCTAGTGAATTCCTGAGCGTGTCTGAGCCTTTAAGGCAGGCTTTGATCCTGTAACTGGCTTTTGGCCAAAGAGCAGCTGTGGGTAAGGCCAGAATGAACCTCCTAAGTAACACACCACCCTAACACAGAATCAGGAACCGGCACAAGTGCGATGGGCACTCGGGTAAGCAAATGCTTCGGGCTGGGGAGCCCATGGAAATGACTTCACCCCCTCTTCACGGAGGAAGGTCCCGCACCTGGGAACCGTCCTGCCGAGCACTCAGGGGTCATGCTGCTGCAATGTTGACAGAATAGCCCTGTGTACCCCTGCTTCCTTCTCTCCATCACTGTCCCCTTGCCCTGAGGGTCCCAGAACTGGCCATCACTGCCCTGGAGAGTGAGGAGTATGAAGACCCTGGCCCCTTGTCCTGAGTCAGGGAGCACCTGCCCTGGGTTCCCAGTGTCCCATCACAGAAGGCCTGAGAACACCTTCAAGGTGATGAGCATTTTAGCACCACATTTAAATTAAATCCGTGTGATATCTTGCCCAGTGTTTTCTGTACAATGTAAGTCTTTGGCCCTGGGAGAGGGGTCCGTTCACAGCACAGGTCCGTGTGTGAGACAGGCAGTCTGATGGAGGCGGTGAAAGTGGGGACTGAGGTGACGATGGTTGCGGAGAGAGGTGTGTGCTCTGACCAGCCCGTGCCCCGTGCCCCGAAAGATCTCCTCGTGTGCATGTGGCCAAAGCAGGCATTCGATTATGGCCACGAAGGAGCCAGCATGCAAGTGAAAGCATGACCGTGGGCCTCGCTCCATTACTGGCAAGTACAGTCCTTACACGGCGCCAAGTGCCAAGCACCGTGTTAAGCACTTTCCATACAGTAACTCACCTAATCCTTAAGCACCAGGGACAGGCACTACGATGCCCTCCGGAACCTGACACACAGAGGAAGTCACGTGTCCAGTGTCCCACAGCCAAATGCAGAGCTGGGCTTCAAACCCAGGCAGTCTGGCCTTGGAGTCAGTATTTATTTATTTTTAATGTTTTCATTGGTTTTAGAGAGAGAGGGAGGGAGAGAAAAACGCCGATGAGAGAAAATGCTGATGAGATTGGCTACCTCTTACACCCCCTACTGGGGACTAAGCCCACAACCCAGGTATGTGCCCTGACCTGGAATCCAACTGTCGACCTCTCGGTGCATGGAACAAAACTCAACCAAATGAGCCACACCAGCCAGGGCTTAACTACGTTTTTCTTTTCTTTTTAAAAAAAATATATTTTATTGATTTTTTTACAGAGAGGAAGAGAGAGGGATAGAGAGCCAGAAACATCGATGAGAGAGAAGCATCGATCAGCTGCCTCCTGCACATCCCCCCACTGGGGATGCGATGCGCCCTCGACCTGAATCAAACCCAGGACCCTTCAGTCCGCAGGCCGACGCTCTATCCACTGAGCCAAACTGGTTTCGGCTTAAGTTCATTTTTCTTAACTGAGCTACAGGGAAAACAAGAGTAGCAGCAAATAAGCATAACTGACTCTGGAAACTGTTCAGAATATGTCAGGGAGGTTTGACAGGCCTTAATTACAATACCATGAAATAAGTCACTAAAAATAACAGAAATGTTAACATTAACATCTCTACTGATTATTTAATACTCACTTTATATACTCATTATAAAGGACTCTCAGTTCAATAGTAAAACTTAAGAGTGTTTTTTAAATACGAAAATACAAATACAGGTTTCTAATTTATATTATGTTTGGATAGATTCGACTTAGACAAATCTTAAAATGCCTAGCACCTCTTAGCAATAAAAGTGACATCAAAAAGATAGAGCAACGCTCTTACCAAAATCAGTAAAAGCTTACATAGGCTCTGAAACTATGGGGCAGTTTTGCCAATAGGCCAACATTTCATAGGAAGGTGGGAACATGGCCTTCCCCTCCTGTTAGCAGCCATTCTGTTAGGCCTTATGGTGGCCATATGGTGTTTTAAGTACTAATAGGAAACAAATGCGTCGACTTAAGAATACAAAAAGCAAACTGTGATATAAAGAGTAAGGAAAGGGAGGAAACATTTCAATAAGCTCAGGCATGACATGATGATGCTATCACAGGCCTCAGTATCTTCTTTAAATCTCAGATAAATTGAGCCACCAACAGCAAAGTCACTCCCAGAGAACGCTATGAGATTCTAAGTCGCTAGACTCCTTTCCATCTTCTCCTCCTCCTCAGCTCTTGATACTGCTGTCAAAGTCTACACACTGGCAAAGAAAAAAGGGGTGAAAGTTCAGGGATTTTATAGAGAAATAATTCAAAATCTGTTGTGATTATTTGAACTAAAATATTATAGCCCCACTATCACTTTTTTTTTTTACTGACATCATTTTAAATGCCTAAAACACATGGCCTGTCCTTAAATGCCCAGTAAACCAATCATCACAATTCCTGAAGAACAGACTCCATTACATTTTAGCAGAACAGCCACCTTCTCTTCTGCCTCCCACCCACTCTAGGAGATAAACACAATTCATTTTAAAGACACGGGGGAAATGCGCTTCCTTCTTAGAATGGCTGTCGGTTCAGAGGCAATTAAAAAACACTTTTTTTACAGTGAGGAAATTAATTTTACTTTCCAAGGGAGGAAAGGGCCGGTGTATTGCTAGTCGATCCAGGGCCAATTCAGAGACAATTTACAGCACAGCTGCCAACAAGGAGTCTCACACTTGCCAACTACTCACTTTTCATCTCCGAAGCATCTCCAAAGACTTACAACGTGTCACTCCCTAGCAGGGATGCGCCAGGACGAAGACAGTGAGGGGCAGGGCACCAAGGGGCTTCCACCACTGATGGCGCGGCCAGGCCGCGGGGCCATGTGCTCTGAGCCTCCTCACTAGTGGGGACTCACTCGCACTGATTTTTACAAACTCCTTTCTTAAAAACATTGAGATGGGATTCACACAACATAAAAATCACGTGAGTGTGCTTTTTAGTATATTTACCATGTTGTGTAAGCATCACAATTCCAGGACATTCCCGTCACCCCATAAATATCCCCTTTATCTATATAATCTATATAATAAAGGGCTGATATGCTAATTAGACTGAACAGCAGAACAACCATCTGGATGAAGCTGGGCCACAGACTGTGAGGGCCGGCTGAGTGGCTGAGGTGGCTGGGGCTGCGAGGGCCAAGCCCTCTTGCCTGAATTCTGTGCACTGAGCCTCTAGTCCATTTTAACATGCACTGACTTTCTCCACAGATATCTGTTGCCCAAGCAGGTATTTAAGATGCTTGGTTGGATGACTCTATGGAGTATCTAGACAGTAAGAAAACCATAAAGCTACACTGTCCACGATACTGAACCCGAACTCTTGGCAATCTGAACTTTTACCAATTGATTTAAGAACAGCAGAGAAAATGACATTCAACATTCATCCTTACGTAGCACATTAGTGTTCCCTAAATTCATCCAAGATGTTAGAAGGAGGGAAGATACTCTACAAGGATTAACATAGCTGTCCATAGTTGCAATTTCAAGATATAGAAGATGCATATGTGGGAAAATCTCTTTTAATAGCTAAATTAAAACAACAACAAACAAACATGATAATTAAGCAACTATTGCCCCACTTGGGAAAATAATCCCCAAACCAGGCCCCAGTGAAAGTAATAAAACCAGAGGGAGCCTCCCTTCCATCACCCTGGCCGTCGCTCCCAGTGAGAAAGCAGCCTCGGCAGCGGGCAGGAGCGCAGGTGGGCGCTCTGGCTGCCCCGGGGCTCTCGGCACCTCAGCGAGCCTGGCTCCTCAGACACGCAGGAAGGAGGCCTCACCTGCAGGCAGCGGGTGTTGAAAGCGGGAGGAAGGAGGTCCACGAGGGTGTCTTGCTTTTGTGCATTATCTGGGGTGCTATTTCCAGAGAGGAGCTCCTTTACAGAGTATGCCCAAGATGGATTTCTCTAAGTTGCTCTCAGAGGTGTCCAGCTGCCCTCACCAATAAGTCAGTCTTTGTAGGTTGACAGAAACCACCAGTCAAAGCAGATGCATATGGATTGTGGGGAAGCCTTCTTTAGTATCTAACATAGCTGGATTAAAACAAAAAAACTTAACCATTAAGCAAATCTTCACTTTAATCATTAGTTTAGATTATAGCAAATATCAACTAGGTACTAAGCTTGGGTCTACCACTAGCATGGATATTTAACACTTATTAATGGGGATTTTGTGGGTTTGAAGGCTGCAATGAGCTCTTAATTTTAGTTCTGTTAAGAAATTAGTTCTACGTGGGGGGGCATACGTGGGGAGGGGTTTGAGGTGGGAATGGGGGGATGAAGACAATTATGTGATATCATAATCAATAAAGAAATTTTTTAAAAAATTAGTTCTACTTGATAAGTAAACAAGATCCAGAAATATATGCCGGTAATTTCATTCATTCTTGCTGAAGTTGCTAAGCAACACTCGCAGTGACTCCTGCTGTGCAACAAGCTGTACCCTAGCCATGTATTTACCGCCTTATTGTTATTTGCGATAATGACTTAATATTATACATGTTCATTTCCCGGATTTTCTAAACCACAATCCCATGCAATCAAGTGAAGTTCACGACATTTATGTAATGTACAAACTAACAAATTTGCCTCAAAATAGTGATCTCCGGAAGCGCTGCTACATTGTCCTTGTTTACAGATGCCCGGGATAGTCCCAAGTTAAAAGGACACTTGGCTGAGCGCAGCTACAAAGTATTCACCCTCTGTACACCCACAGGAACTCCCCGGCGGCCGGAAAACTCCAAGGAGCTTCCCGGAGCCAGAGTTCCATTCCCTTAAACACGGGTTGTTAAGTTTGAGAATCAACTGCAGGTGAAAGAATCTCAAAATGACTTAATGTATTTGAGATTCTTATAGAGTCAAAACAACGATATAATTGTTATACAGTAAAAAGCCCAAGGTTAGCTACATTTGCAGATATATTTTGGAATGTAATTGCTCCAATAGTTCCCATTCTTAAATTGGTTTCATGAAACTTTTCTAATATAAATACTGATCTTGTTCTGAGTAAGCCTGGATGAAATTTAACCTTTGTGAAATAAGACACATTACCTAGGAAGAGGCCCCATGGCTCTTGCATTGGGAGAGTACTAACACGTGCACGTTATCACTGTAGGGTGCTAATCAGACCCTTGGAGCTGTTCAACAGAGGAAACCCTGATAGAACCATTTTCTAAAAGGGTCAGGTTCCTCATGTCTCACACAAGTGCGTGCTGAAAGGATTGTTTCAAAATTTCCCTTAAATCACGATTATTGAAGAGATTAAAAATATACCAACACAATAATTATCCTTCAATTATGAATAATTCCCTTGGTTTAAAAAGAGGAGGGCTCAAACTCTAGGACTTTGTGGATGGGCCAAGAATCAAGGGAAGAAGGCATACAGGAACGGAAACACACAGAAAGGCAGTAGGAGGCGTGGTGCTCAGTTTTAATGCAAATTTCTTCCAGGTTACTGCAAAGAGCATTGCATGTCACATAACCTCAAAGAATGCAGCTATAAAAAATACACATAATTAATGTACAGTAAAATTTTGACAGGTAAAAAACGTTAAAAAAAAAAAAAAGTCTATAGCTATCTGTTGACAGGATCCATACATGAACTAAGGCCCTATTCAGATTGAAACAAATTCTGGAAATTCATGCTGCAAGGGAGAATGAAAGATTGCTGGGCAGCTCAAAATCTTACAGCAAACACGGAAATCAAAATAAAATGTTCCTGTATCCTAACCCTAACCCCCCAAAACAACAAATGGGTTCATCTTAAAAAATAAAAATAATCATCAGAGCCAACAAGCGTATTGGTGTCATCACCTGTGCCCTCATGCTCCCTGCTCCTCAACCTGGGAAGACAAGAGAAGGAAGTTTTCCCAATCATCACAGCGCCTGAATGCCCAGAGATCTATAAAGGAAGACAGCGGACTTCTACCCCTGATTTTTGGGGATATAAACATAAACACACACACACACACACACACACACACACACACACATACACACACACGAACAGGTTACAGGAAATAAGAGAGATGGAAACAGCTACCTTCTCCAACCACCCAAACTTCCGTTTCCCCTACGACTGTCGATCTACACACCACGAGCCTAATCCTCTGCCCTCATCCCACACCAAGGGATGGAAAGGCAGATTTTCAACAAGCGAGGACCCGACCTGGACGTGAACACTGACCTCCACAGCCACTGACTGCTCCACCTGTCATCCCCGCAGCGATGGCCCAGCCCGTCTAACCTCCACTCCTCAGTCCCCTCAACGGCAACACAACCCGGGAGGAGGCCGCTGAACCCAGCCTCACGTGTCCCAACAGGTTCCGGGCATTTTACTGGAAAACGGGATCTGAGCAACCAGAGAGCATAAGGTTCCCATTTTGGGCGAAGTTTGCCGATGTCCACATCCAGCCCCCGGGGCTGGCTGACCGCAGCTTTCACCTGGCCAGTGTTCTCTGAGGGAGGGCTGACACTGGGAGGGCTGCAGAACAGCAGTGGGAAAGGACCAGAGCGCCACACCACTCAGGGCAGGGGCGGTTACCGTGAGTCCGCCTCGAGTCAAGACAGTGTCACATCATCGCCTCCGACAGCAGAGACCCTCACCCAAAGCCCGAAGGAGGCCCCCCGGGCCCAGGACCGCTTCCCAATGGGCCCGACTGGGGCCCCAGCTCCTCCTCGGAGTTCTCTCTCCTCCCACAGGTGCTTCCTGCTCTGCGTTCCGCAGCGGCTCCTAAGGGCCGAGCCGTTCGAGCCCCGCGTCCCACACCTGCACCGGCCCGGGGTCCCCTTGGGGTCCCCCCGAACGCGCACAGCGCGCAGGCGCCCGCGGGGACCCGGCGCTCCCAGGCCATTGGGGGGTGGGGGGACCGGAAACCAGCATTTTGCTTCACAGGAGGGGCCGCCTCTCTTCACCTTCCTCCCACAGCACCTAGCACTGAGGAGCCGCTCCTGTGCCTTCCACAGCCACAGGAGGAGGAAAGACAGGGACCGCCGCTCAGACACAAGCAGGAGCCCGTCTTTCTGGGCTCAGGCCGGGTCGGCGTGTGGGGCTTTCCCTCGGATGCGCCACATTTCGGTGGGGCCTGAGGACACACACACTCGAGACCCCATCACGCTCAGGGTCCCTGCCCTGTGAGGTCACCGGTGCAAGTGGAAGACATACGGGCCGTAGGGACACGAGGCGCCTGGGCTTCGTGCTAACCGTCACGCGCAGGCGGCGGCCGGGCCGGGCCGGCCCCTAAGGACGGCCTCCTGGTCGTGTCCCGCGCTGCTTATCGCCCCGCCAGCGCCGGGCGCTGTGGTTTACGGGCTGAGGAGCAGCGAGGCCTCGAAGGCCGGGCCTGCGGTGTGCGCGCTCCGCACCGCGAGCTCCCGCCTGCCCCACTCGGCGGCGGGGACCAGTTTCCCGCCCGCGGCCCGGCCGGAGCTCGGCGGCAGTTGGAGGCAGTTGGGACCGGCCCAAGCAGGTTGGAACCGGTCTGAGCCGGGCCGGAGGAGGAGGAAGGGGGGAGGGAGAGGCCGCCTCGCGCTCTCCCTGCGCGCGTGACTCACGCTGGCCGCTGACGTCAGGCGTGCGCGCGCGGCGGGGGGGGGGCGCTCTACGTACGTGTAGTGCTGCGGTTTCTCGGGCTGTGCCTGCAGCACCTGGGCGGTAGCGGCCGGGGGCGCCGAGGAAGCTGCGGAGCCGCCGGGCCCGGGGCCCTTCGACATGGTCCTGTCTTCCTGCCTCTTCGCCGCTCCCCTTTTATTATTCAGTCTGCGCGGTCCGCGCCGAGGACTCAGTGCGCCTGCGCCGCGCCACGAGAACGTGAAGACCCCCCGCGCGGCAGCAAGGGCTGCTGGGAGTTGTGGTCCTCGGTTCGGCTGGAATTTTACCGTCGGCCGAGGGTGGCTGCCAAAGGAACGGACCACAATACCCAGGGATCCTTGCAGGCGGTGTCCCGGATGCCGAGGGCCCGCGACTGCTTTTGGGAATTGCAGTCCGGCCGTGTTCCTCCTGAGCGCGGTTCCAGTTTCGTTGGGGTACTTTTCCTTGAAACTGGAGCCCCTGCGGTAGATGGGGCCCGGAGCTGGGGAGGCCCTGATGACTTCTGTGAAACAGTTTCGAGTGTAATTTTACTGCCAACAGTGTGACGATTACCTCGCCTCCAGACTTGGTGTACCGTGCGCTCCGTGCAGAGGCCGGCCCCTAGCAGAGCTTAAGAGTCTTGTGTTTGTGCTGCGGGAGCCTGGGCTGCACCGAAATCCTCGTTCCTGCAGCAGAACTGGGGGCGAGGCACGCAGGGAAGTCGCCTGCTGGAAGTCAGCTTGAGAAGCTTTGCTAAAGAGGAGCTCCCCGGCGCAATACTCCCTTCCCATGTCTTTGCTGGGGCGCTCCATAAACCGTTAGCAACCCTGAAACGCCACGATTTGGTTCTCTTCTCCACTCGACACCTGGCCTGACCAACTTGTTTCCAGTGCATTAGGGGCCAAGGACGAATTTAATCTCCGTCTAGAATAGTCTCGGGTACACCGGCAAGTTGCAGGAGCGTTGAGAAGCATTAGTGTCCACAGGAAGGGCCTGGGTTCCAGTAGTAGGAGGTGCGATGCATCTAATCCACTCCAGTTCGCTGCTCTGAAGTCAGCTGTTAGACTTGGGAAAATGTGTCTCCCCTCCCTGCTTCCCGCCAGCGGGGCTAAGATTTTCATTTTGTAAAAGAAGCCAGTTCCCCCAGATCTAGGCATTCGACTTTGTGGGCTTTACCAAGTTCCTCACAGATATTTTAACTCTCGTTAACTAATGATCATCTCATTAAAGACCACATTAGGCATAACCTTAGGAGTGAGGGAGTGAGGGGTGAATGGAATATTGTTTTAAAAATGACACATACTTGCCCATTGTTGCTCCGGGTTGAAGTCGGGGTTTGATTCCGGGTCACATGCCTGGGTTGCTAGCTCCATCTCCGGTTGGGGTGGGAGGGGGTGGGGGGGGCAAGCAGTGATTCTCATCACTGATGCTTCTATCTCTCCTTCTCTCTGAAATCAATAAAAATATATATTTTAAAAAGAATGACACATTCATTTTTTTACCTAGTTCCCTGTAACCTCATATCAGAAGCCAAATTGTCAGCCTACAATGTTAAGAAACTGACATTTCTTTTTTTAAATGGACTGTTAGAGAGGAAGGGAGGAAGAGAGAGAAACACCAATTTGTTTTTGCACTTATTTATGTTAAACTACGTGCCCCGACCAGGGAACAAAGCTACAGCCTTTGCATATGGGGAGGACGTTCTAACCAAGTGCGCTAACCTACCAGGGCCAAACTGGCATTTCTGACATAGGCCACATGGTGAACCACTAGGGGCGAGGGAAGATGAAAAATTACGAAGAGACAAAAGTTGTAGTGTATTGCTTTAATCCTATTATTAAATCCCAATAATTGGTCTACGTTATCCCCCAAACACCCCGGTGTGATTTGAATGAAGAAATGTAGTTCAACCCTGGCCGAGTTGCTCACTTGGTTAAAGCATCGTCCTGATGGGCCAACGTTAAACACATACAAAAAAATCAACCAATTCATAAATAAGTGGCACATCAAATTGATGTTTCTCTCCCTTCCTCTCTAAAATCAAGCAGTAAAAAATATTAAAAGTGTATACTTCATAGTGCTAGATTTTTAATATATTTTTATTGATTTCGGAGAGGAAGAGAGAGACAAACATCAATGATGAGAGAACCACTGGGGACCCAGCCCACATCCGGGCACGTGCCCTTGACTGGAATAGAACCCAGGAAGGACCTTTCAGTCCACATCTCGACGCTCTATCCACTGAGCCAAACCAGCGAGGGCCACAGAGCTAGGCTTTAAATAAGTGTACATCAGGAGCTTCAGGATAAGTGTGTAGTAGTAAAATTGGGAGATATCCAAACTGCTTAATTTACAAAACAGGAACCCAAAACTCAGAGAGGTTAAGTAACTTGCTCAGAGTTACTCAGCAAATCTATGCTAGAACAGGAACGAGAACAGTTGCCTACATAACATCCTGCATTGTTTTGATTGTATAAACAGTTCTTCATTTTTCTTTTTTTTTTTATAAAAATATATTTTATTGATTTTGTACAGAGAGGAAGGGAGAGATAGAGAGTTAGAAACATCGATGAGAGAGAGTCATCGATCAGCTGCCTCTTGCACACCCCCCACTGGGGATATGCCCGCAACCAAGGTACATGCCCTTGACCGGAATCGAACCCGGGACCCTTCAGTCCCCAAGCCGACGCTCTATCCATTGAGCCAAACCAGTCTCGGCAGTTCTTCATTTTTCTCTCCTGCACCAATTTAGGAAAAAGACAATCTAATTTGTGTGACTGCCAAATAAGAAGAGCAATCTATTTCCACTAGTGGTCCTTAAATAGATTAATGTAAATCCATTCCTACTTTCTCCTGGAGCAGTGTTAGTTCCTCTCTAATAATTAGCAACATTGAAGAAAAATTACTGTGTCTCCTTTAGGAGTCATGGGGCAGACAGCGTTCTGGGTCTCCTATGAAAACATTGGAACACATGCCCTGACCGGTTTGGCTCAGTGGGTGGAGCGTTGGCCTACGGACTGAAGGGTCGCAGGTTCGATTCCGGTGAAGTGCATGTACCTTGGTTGCAGGCACATTCCAGTAGGAGGTGTATAGGAGGCAGCTGGTTGATGAAAAAGGTTTAAAAAAACACCACATTGGGACACAAAGGGGTGTTTCAAGAGAGCCAATTCCCTGTTCCTTCACCTCCCAGTTCTGAGAAAGGGCAAGGGCCTCTGGGTCTCTCTCCTCAGCACGGCAGGAATGAAACAGAAAATTTAACCTCCCCCTTTCCTCAACGGAGCAGAAGCCAAAAATTCAAGTTACTTTATCACATAAAAGCTTAACTACACGATAATTAAATACATGTTTTGAATATTACAATGTAAAGGGCGGAAATACTGAGGGGCTCGGTACCTGAGAGTGGGCCGGAGATGTTTTGCCAAAGCTGCTTTTTCAGTGTGCCTTTCCCCCTCACTGTGATACTTAGAGGGGACTTCTGGTGTCACAGAACATTTTTGAGGCATTTGTATTTATTTGTAATAATTCTCTGAGTTGAATTCTATATGTAACTGGTTTTGCTAAAATAAAAATATTTTAATAATTCGAAATATTCTGTGAATCCAGAGTAAGGACTATGGAGTATCATACCTACGGCTCTATTTTTCAATTTCTGAGCTTTGTTTGGCTGCTCTGAACCTTAAGCCTGCTTTGGTATTTTATATATCTGAATCATTGGAGTACTGCAACCATTTATCTACACAAAGATAGGAATTAACATTTTTATACACTTGTCATGTTTCTTCAGAAGTAATTCCAGGATATACCATTAAACACAGAGGCATATATTAAATGTAGTTGTCTGTTCTTTCCTCTTTATAGACATGCAAATGCTATCAAAGGATTATTCCCATTTTGGCTATATGTAGTCACGTCACTTAGTTGAATTATATAACCCCAAACTATGTTGCTTAGAGGCTACATAATGAAATCACAAAGCATTTTGTGACAGACTTAAGAACATACAAAGTGATACTCATGACGCCATTTATTGGCATTTGTTTCTTTCTGGCTATTATTCCTCCCCACCCTACCAAACAAAAGAACTGCTTTTTGGTTAAAATGTATATGAAAGATAAATAAAATACCTGGTAATATGACATGATTTACTGAATTCTAGTTCTTATTTACACTACTACTTAACTATCAAAATGTTAAAATGAGTTAAAACATCTACCTAGAATATTTTGTTTGAGTTCTCGAATAAACTTGGGGGCGAAAAAAACCAAAACTACCAAAATGTTAATGAAAAGTAATTTAACCGCAGGGAAGATGTTTTATTTCACATTGGGAAATATTTACAAAAATTGTATTAACGTAACCTCTTCCTGCATTGATGGCATTATTTGAGGCAAAGTTAAGCTTCTGCCCATCCAGACTCTTTCGTCCTGATGGGGACCAATACAATTTATTTGCATTGACTTTCTATTGTAGAGCTTTGGAACCAAGGGAAGGATCCAAACATAGCTCCATTTTATCCAATCAGAAGAGCCGCTTAGTACTAAACTATGATTCGTCCATTTCGCTTTGCTTTCATCCAATCGTTAGGCCACTTTAACAGCCAATCAGCGGCCTAGATATCCGCCAATCAGAGTGCAGGGCCCTAGCACGGCCTTTGTGTCGAGGGATGTCAACGCGTCGGCGAAAGCTTCGGCCAATAGGAAAAGTCGTTGGTGTATGCAAATGAAGGTCCTATGACGCAGAGACGCAGCGTGAAGCGTGGGTATAAAAGCGGAAACATCGGGGGGGTTTGGGGCAAAGCGGTTTGGTTGTTCGTTGGCGCGGTCTGTGCACTTAGCTCCCGGGCTGCGGCTCTCCCTCGGGCGGCCGGAGCGGCGTCACGGACTCAGAAGCGGCCTAACCTTCGGTGTCGAGTAAGTGTTCGCGGGTTTTCCCGGGGCTTGGGGCCGCGGCGGCCGTTGGGGCCGCGAGTCGCG